TTAATTAATTATAAAAAATTTTTACAGTACCAATAATTATACATGTATAATCTTATATAAAATTTCTAATTGCATCGAGTATTTATTGATATAAGTGTTAATAATATATTACTAATGCAATTAAAAGTAATATATATAATTGTATCCGATATTATTAACATTGATATATTTATTATGCAGTCATCTAACCTCGTTCAAAATATATACCAATACAAAAAGTGTAAGGAGCAATAAGGATAGAAATTCTAGGGTTCTAAAGTATAATCATATTGTTTTATATTGTATTGCCAAGTCGAAGGATCTATCCTCCTTTGCATAATGTCTTTTTACCATTTAATTTTCAACTTTCTAGTTGTCACATAGAAAGAAAGAGAGATGTTTACAGCTTTTGGGCATGTTAATGCAAGCCAACCTAACCACTGTCATTAGATCATGAGGACAAACCCACATGATTAATTATTATGATCCAAAATTATAACTTTTCATTTTTTTTGAGTTACGAAGAAAACTCGTAATCACTATTTGAGTGTGTGAATTAATTAAACCCTGCTCATATATAATAGCGCAGCTTATAAATCATTATTGAAAAATTATGTGCTATGAACGTGCCACTATTTAATCTTTGCTGGCAAATGACCATAAGAAGGTAAACTAATTTAGCTAGGTTGACCATAGTTGACTGACTCAAATCAAAAAGACCAATATATTACTCCTATTAAAAATCGAACTTCTAACCTTGTGATTAATTACCAATAAACAGTCTGACGAACATTTGTTAAAAAAAAAAAAAAAAAAAAAAAAAAAAAAAAGTGTTAGTGTGGCCATGTATACTTTATTCTAAACCTCAAACTCCTCCATCTTTTTTCCACTTTGTGCTTTCAACCCATGTGGAAACTTTGCATCACATGCAAGGTCTCCCCTCTGATCACTTCCCCTCCACCATTTTTATTCCAACCATTTCTTAGCTTCTTTTTTACATATCTTTCTGCCACTTTCATTTGATCATTCCCACAAGCAAACTCTTTCTTCTTATTTCCATTTTTTTCTTTTATATTTTTGTCTTTGTATAGTCCAAATCACATCGAAACGACACTTATGTGCATCATAAAATGAACAGTTGTTGTTACGTTAACGTTATAGCATTAAGTATTAATAATAGGTATTATTAGATTATATAATGATGGATTTGACACATAAGAGCAAAGTTAAGCTCCTTCCTAATTAGTGATGAATGTCACATGTGACATGGCCGGAGCCCAATAAAGTCTCCCCCTCCTCAATTTCTCAACCTTCACAACTGGCGTCACGCGATAATAAACGAACATTGTCACGTTCTTTATTTAATTTCGTGAATATGCTAAATTATTGTAACTTTTATATATATGTTTCGTTAGATTATATATAGAGTTAATCACCATTTTAGTCCCTCAATTGTTTTTCAACTGTCAATGTAATCCATAATTTTCAATTTATTTAAAATTTCTTCGTCAATTAAACCCTTTCAGTTAAGGACCGCGAAAAGCGTAATGTTTGGTTCAAATTGTTGGCAATATAATGCAAAAACTAACCTCTTTTAATTTCCTTGTCATTGAGATGTTACGTTGGAGACAAATTCAAAGATTTTATACCTTAGCAAAATGATTTGAACCAAAAAGCACTTCATTCATGCAGTGTATCTCTCTAAGATAGGGCATGGATTAGATATAAATGAAAGCAGCATGTATCATCATTAGCCAGTATAATCATAATTAAAAGTAGGCTGAATATTAATAGATTTGGTTAAGGTCCAATGGCATGGTTATGTGTAAGTCAGTGCAATCCATTCAAGATTAACACAATGAAACCATGGGATTATGGGCTCATTTAATAGAAAAATGATAACAATAATCAATTCTGTCATGATTGATAGTCACAGTGCGAGAATTACACTTAATATAGTGAATTTTTTGTGAACACCATACATTACTTCTCTTATTTAATAATCGACTGAATCCATAAATTTATCCATCAATTATTTTATCAGGTCGGAATGTGGGTGTATTAGAGCGAGAGAATTACACATTTTATATAAGCAATAATAAATATTGGAAATTTGCAATGCAATCATGACCATTCAATTCTGGCCCTCCTGCACTCCTCAAACCACTCATTCAGTCTCACTGTGGTTCCATTATTTTTTGTCTTCAATAACCCCACTTTCTTGTTGGATCATATTTGCCATCCCTTCTTTTTTTTTTTTACAGCTTTTGACCCTTTTTTGTTGCATGAAAATGTTGCAGACAATACATTTTGTTGTGGTTTGGGCATGCTTTAAGTTTTGGCATTAATAGTATGGTATAGCTCTTGGCCATTAGGTCATTCTTGGATAAGATATGCTTTAATTTGTGAGTGGAGTATGTGATACTCCTTTTGTATAAAAGGTATTTGTCCGTCAATTAAGACTGTTATTATTAGTGTTATGTATAGCTTCGAAGGGTATAAATATTGCGCTATTATGTTATTTGACAATTATAATTATTCTATCAAATAGAAAGAAAAACATGTAACATGTGTCATGAATCATCAAATTTATTAACTATATATTTGACATTTATAATTGTCATATTGGACAGAAAAACATATAATATGTGTCACCACTCATCAAATTAATTGACTATTAATGGTTAATATGATACTCACATTATTTAAATAAAAAAAATACACTATAGGTAAAATGTGATTCTTTAATATTGGGGTATAAATTGAACTGGCCCAATCAAAAGAAACAGAAGCCTAGTTAGGCCTATGAGACATGGAAATAACGTTGTTGCTTTGACTTGGATAATATTTGAAGCATGTCCAAATGACCAAGTCAGGATGGGCCAATGGGCACGGTTGGACGCCCAAGATTTATTGGATCAGCAGAATCCGAGCACAACCATATCTTTTTCGCATTAATATTTACCTCTTACAAGATAAGACTAATTCAATTAAATGTCATCGGTCCTGATGGGGATATTAGATATGAACTGAGGCCTGAGGACTTATTGGGTTAACGTTGTTGGGCAGGACAGATCCAATGGGGGTGATCGGGGGCACGACGGGGACATCCGGGGGATGGCCGGCGTCGGTGCCAGAGGGGGGCGCCGGCGGGGGGCTGGCACCAGCCGGCAACGGCGCGCCCGATGCGCGAGCGTAGCGCCCCCTGTGCGAGGCCACGGGGGAGGCCGCCGGCTAGCCTCTGCGTGGCTGGGCGCGAGTCTAGTGCCCCCCATCGCGTGGGGCACGGTGGCATGCGGTCACTGGCACCAAGGGCGGTTCTGCCCAAAGTACATGGGGTGCGCAGGAGAGAAGGTGGGGTGTCGGAGAACGTGCGGACTACCGTGTGACAAACGAGGGAGTGGCGTCTGAGTACGTGGGACACGTGGACGGCCGAAGGAGGAGGGGGCCCGCTATAAATAGGGGTCCTGGGTCTCTAGCAAAGGGGAAGGAAAATCACGGTAGTCATTCTAATCCAGTGGTCTTGACTCCAAGCTCTCAACTATCCTACTCAAGTTCGATTCTCGCTAATAGCATAGTTAACTATAGTCCATCTTCTGGGCCTCACTTTGTATTTGGGCCGCCATTCTGGGCCTGTACCTCGAACTTTGTACGCATTGTTTTGAGCCTAGCGCCCCGGGTAATAAAGTGACTCTTTTCCTACCCCCGTTTTGTATATCTATACCCGGTTTATGGTGGACCCGATCCCAATAAAACCATCATGTCCCATTCAAGAAGAGTTTTAATCACAATTTTTTTAAAGATTTAATTAGAGCACAGAGACTCGTAATACATGATATATGTAAATATGGTCTAGCTGGTGTATCCAAATGGCCTTGCTTAGGAGAGTTAGAGGTGTCAACGAGCTAAGTCCAAATAGTCAGGGTCAGAAACTCACCTTAATTTAAACAAATTGAAACTCAAATTTAATCAAACTTTTTTTTTTTTAGTTCGCGCTTGACTTGATTCAAATTCGAGCTATATAAATTCAACTATACTCAAATAAACTTGAATCAAACACCAAAATACTCGTGTTCAACTCAATTCATTATTCAAACTCAACTTAACTATAAGTTAATCAAATTCTAACATTCGTGCAGAGCATAAGATAATTAAAGATTGCACAACTCATCAGTATCTTCATTCTTCATCTTTACTCTTCCACATGCTGTCTTCAAATTTTCATTATTTTTTTTTTATTTTTGCTGCCATATGTCAATAATTCAAGGATTTAATAATGGCCACACAAACACGTCAGAAGAAATTCTTTGTTTATGCAGTTGGACTTCACGTTATATATGCTCTGATGATATGATAGCAATTCTGAGAATTAAGAATATGCCCATTTCACGCCTACAAGCATGCCTTCCCTTCAACTTATTATATTCACCCAAATCCCAATCCAGTTACTTAAAGAATTTGGATGGAATGAGATTCCATAAATATTAAATTATAAAATCATTCTTAAATTCTCAAAAACCATTATCACTTATACACATTGGCCTTAAAAAAAAAAAAAAAAAAAAAAAAAAACTATAGGGATAAGCTAGTTGAGTTGCCGGTCGGCCGGCCAGAACGGCTCGATATTGATATTGATAATGGTGAGAGAATTCGTCTCTGATGCCTTCAAGGAGTTACCTCACAAGAGAGTGAAACTCCCACACGAGTATACTGTAGTTACTAGGATTAATTCTGTGTTTTTGAGTGTAATTTTTTACCCAAAAATTAACTAAGCTATTCGTGAGTGAAAAATGAAGTGCTTCTAGTGAGATGGGTGGGTGCAAATCCTTGACCTTTAAGACACTGATGGGGTCATTAAGGAAATCAAATAAGCATCATTTTCTTAATCTTTTTGCTGAAATAATTGAAGGGGAAAAAACCAAGAAAGACAAAAAGAGCACAACAAACTGATCTGAAGCTGACATATATAGGATTAGGTACTGTTTCCCGAAAGAAACTGGCAACTTCCAACACAGTTTTGCTGCTGACAAAGAACATGTTTTTTGTCAAAAAGCTCCATTATGATGCTCTTATCTACAGATTATGTTCATGTAGAATGCTAATTAATCTCCCAAAATTGCGTTACTTGCCCCCATATACAACCAAAAACATCGCAGAATCAGAAAGGAAAACTATAACAGAAGTACAAAACCAATATTTCATAATCAAGATCTCATGATGTTCTTTCTCGAGTATAATGTTTTTTTTTTTTGGAGTGACGAGGGAAACCTGCAGCCATAACCCAAGGGTGTTTACCGGGTAAATCCCGCCTTAACCTGCAAACCAAGAAAGTTAATAGGCCACCCCCGTTGAGGTGTTGAACTTGTAACCTTGTGGTTACCAAGACAACAGTCTGACCAGTTTGGCTGAGGTTGTCCCGAGTTTAGTGTTACTGTAGGGTGATGGGGGATTTTGCTGAACCATCCAAGATGATCTCAAACAAATCCCCTTCTGATTCCAGGTCATATTCAAGCTGCTTGAGGCTATTCACAGTGGTGGTGTTGCTTTTGGCATTCAACCACTCAGAATCTATCCTCCCCATGGAGAAAAGCTCTTTGCTGTCTTCATACCCTAGCAATGGAGAATTGGTTGGCAGATGGGGGGAAATGAAGCATGGGTTTGGGGTTCTTTGCAGATTTGCAGGGGCATATTTGAAGGCACTTTGGCCAATGTTTACCAGAACATTAGTCTCAGCATTTGCTGCTATAATGGGGTAAAGTGGGCTCCCAAATTCTTCTGATTTGCAGTGGATTTCATACACCAGTTGTGAGTCCACTGTGAAGAACACTTTCTTTTGGGTTGGATTGTACCCACACCCTATCACTTTTTCTGGCTTCCCCCATTCTTCTGTTTCACAGTCATGCACCAATTCCATCCCTGCAACACATTATTGCCACAGCACTGAGTTATATATGATTTGACACTGTTGAACATATAACCATTAATGTGCAATCCAACTATCAGTTTAGGCTTTTAGTTGAGATAGAACACGTGCTCCAATTTGGTATAAAGTCAGACCCGATAAGCGACTAGGGTTGTGTTGAGCATATATGGTTTGCAACTAGTGAATTTGGCATGTTAAAATGACACATGATTTAGCAGTTGAGATACGTCTAACAATTTATCTCTTCTACTTTTACTGAGCAAATTTACTCCGTACTAAGTTATCCATAACTGATTGACTCAAACTAAAAATGTTTGTCTAGTGAACAAAACTTAAAACTTTGAAGTTATTAAGCCCAAGAACTGAAAATTCATAATTATTGAAACACTGTTAAGGGAGAAATCAAAGCTTACCATCAAGAAAAACAGAAGCATTAGAATTGAAACCAATGGAGCCAGGATAGGTCCCCGGAAGCTTAAATGGAACAGCGCCGCCGCCGCCGCCGGCGGCGGCGGCGGCGGTTAACCCTATTGATAAGGCGGCAACAAAATCGCTCCTTTTCGTTTCCTTTCCATCGCCGCTGAGTTCTTGAAGGTGACTGCCGGCGACATGAACCAGTGATTGTGACTTTGATGTTTTGGTGTTAAATTGATTGCTGATAAGCTTAATTTTCTCCCCTTCTGATTTATGATGATCTTCCTTCGTCTTCCCCATCAATTCGTGATCGTCAAATGGGAGAATTGTGATCTCAAAATAGGCGTCTTGTGGGAAAGATGAGTTCCCTAAAGGTGGGCCCGGTAAAGGCAACCCAGTCTTCACCATAGCTGAAGCGTCATCCATTAATGGAGAACTCTTTGTTTTCTTCGAGCTCCCGGAATCACGCCGGAACTGGATTTTCTGCATAAATTCCGGCGACCCTTGAGACACCTCCCAGCTTATCTCCACCTCCATTCGACCACCGCGGTGGCCAAACCGGGCGGCTGTCGGCGGCGGAGTACAAACCTCGAACCCAAACTCCGACCACCCATTCTCGACGGCTCCGGTGACGAGAAGGGGGTGGTCGGCCCAACTGAATATGGGTTTCGCCGGCGGCCCACGCCGGCAAACGAAGTAATCCGTTTTCTTGACGCCATTTTTGTCGAGTTGATGAAGGCTGACGGGATGGAGCTGCGCCGCCACGGATTGCACGCCCACAACTCCCTCCAAATCCTTTTCTTGAAAAAGATCGTTCCTTTTTCGACTTCGGCAGGAATTTTTTATAATTATGATCAGAACGGAAACGAGAACTCCGGTTGAAACTATCACTAGAGCAAGCTTTAGCCATTCTTGCATATCGTATTGTTTCTTCTGCGGATTCTGTTCTCTATCGTTGATTTGATGAAGAAGAAAGGATTGATATATGAGTGATTGAAGAAGATAGATAGAGAGGGGAAGGAGAAAGGAAAGAGGAATGAAGAGACAAATATAGAAAGAAAATTAATATATATAATTTCTTAATCAAAGTCAAAGTGAAAAAAAAAAAAAACAGGTTCATGTTAATATTATATTAAAAATCTATTTTTTATCAAATTTAGTACAGAGTATAATTTAGGTTTTAAAATCCATGTTGATGGTTTAGAATATAGTTTATTTGGCAAAAACTTATGTGAAACCGACTCACCATGCGACATATTTGGTCGGATCAGATCCAAATTAGAATGTACTATGTAATACTTATACACACAAATGTCATACTTATATGATCAAATATAATACTAATAAGGATAAATGTAATACTTTTAAGGGAAAATGTAATACTTTTACATTTCGATTTTAAAGTATTATATTTCTCTTTATAAGTAAGGGGCACTTACCAATATTACTTATTATGAAAATTTAATCTTTTGATAGAAAATATAATACTTTTACATTAAAATGCAAAAGTATTACATTTTTCCTCATAAGTAACAAAATTTTTATTCTTAATTAGTATTACATTTGAGCATATAAGTATGACATTTGCATGTTAATTCGACTTGACTTGACCCGTTTCACGAATAAAGATCCATGAGACGATCTCACACAAGTGTGACCCCTTACTTGATGTTTTCACAAAAGAAATCTACACTATTATTCAATGGTGCGCACTAAGTAAACACAATTTATGTGTAATAGTTATTGAGTAATGTTATGACTGCTCCAAATTTTTCTATATAATTTCCTCTCCTTATGACATTTTTTATTGTATAATTATCTTATTTGTAACTAATGGTCAATATCTTTATTTTTAACTAATGGTATGTCAATGGGACATCCAATAAATTGAAGTCACATTGGGAGGAAAAAAATAAGAGGTAAAATTCAGGATCCAAAAAATATCGTTATTCATGCATATTTTACATTTTTTTCTTTTTATAAGAGTTAAAGAGGACAAACGGGTCCACCTCTCAAAGTGAATCCGAGTTTAAAGATACACAATTTATATACGGAGTATTAAATATCACAATTTAATAAATCCGAGTTTAAAGATACACAATTTAAATATTTTTTTTATAAAATTTAATAAATTTGTTGAATGAAACATTTTCGTTTTGTTAAAAAGATAAAAAAATATATATATATATTTTACTTTTTTTTAGAACGAAAATATTTTACTTTTAGTCCATTGACTATTGTACATATATCAAATTTGGTCATTGACTATTAATATTTTTAAATTAAGTGCATGACTATGTAATTTGTATCACATTTGGTCATGACTTTTTTTTTTTTTTTTTTTGGTCATGACTATTAATATTTTAAAATTAGGTATATGACTATGTAATATGTATCACTCTTAGTCCTGGCATCCAATTTGTTGGCTAAGTTTTTGACAAACTATTACCGAAATTTCAACGAAAAAAAAAATATGTTCTAATTAAAAGGGCATTTTCGGCCAACTAATGTTCAAAATTTTATTTTTCGCATTGAAACTCTAGTAATAGTTGGCAAGAAAATTGGACGACTAAATCAAATATGAAAATAAATTACATAGTCATGCACCTATTGAAAATATTAATAGTTAATGACCAAATGTGATATAAATTACATAGTCATGCACCTAATTTGAAAACATTAATAGTCAATGACTAAATTTGATACATGTATAATAATCAATGGTTCAAAAATGCTTTAAAAAAAATTTCATTTGTCCCATTTTATCTGTCCTACTTAGTATTCATTGGTCAAACAAACGCTTTCTTCTTTGCTTATTTCTATTAGTATTTTCTTGTAATGTTAAAATTTGATTTTTTTTGAGTGTTTGATAGTACTTTTAATGTAGTTTCTAAATATATAAATTTTACATACAAATTCTAAACTTAATATTATGAAAAATTAAATTGTAAATAACTTTAGTCAAGTTTCGTTAACCAAATCGACACATAAAATGAGACGGAGGGAGTATCATTTTAAAGAGGTTTTTTTTTTTTACATCTTAAATTGAACGTAATTTGATCATGTAACCAACCTAACGATTCATTTGCATTTATTACTTAAGTCTAACCTTTAAACTTCTAATATTGTCCATTGAACTTATTTTAAATTTAGTTCAATGAATTAGACGGTATTACCCAAACACGTGATTTATCTAATGTACACTTTTGGAGTAGTAAATATGTGTTTTTTTTTTTTTTTTTTGTCACCGAAAAATATATGAGGCATCGAAAGAGGTGATCAGGTAGGTAGAGAGATCTCGAAAAGAGTGATAAAGTGAGTGAAACATGATTCTCATACATTATTGTAAATACATATTCTTTGGATCGAACATGTTGTATATAATATTTTTTTAGTGTGGTAGGTTTCCCTTGTCATCTCCATATTATATATATATATATATATATATATATCTTAATCATATGAGAATTATTCCCATGTGAGAAACAAATATGCTTGTTTTATTCTTCCAAAAGGCTGAACCCCAACCCTAAGGGCCCCTCACACCCTGGCCCGACAGAGCATTTGGGAAGATGTAAATCATGGTGACTCAACTGAACATGAACCATAGAGGCTAGACCGATGCTCACTGCGCACAAGAAGTCCCCCTCACTTTGAGAGGTTGCTTCTACACTGTCGCGGGTGAGACTCGATTCCTGATCAATATGCTTGTTTTATGGTTTGGGCGATGGTAGTTTTTTCTTTTGTTTTTTTTAGCTAAGCGGATTTATTAATAATATTTTGTATAATTGATTGACATGATTAATGATTTCCAAGCCAAATAGCCAATGGTGAAATGGCATTCAAAAAAAGCCAATGGTGAAATGATTTTGCACCCTCTATCCTTTTATCTTTTGCTTTTTCCTTATTATAATTATTCCTACTCCTTCTTTTCCCTTCTCAGCTCTTTATTCATTTGGATGATATAAATAAACAAAATAATAATAATAATATTGTCTAATATTTATTGGTTAAACTAATTTTTTTTTTTGTTTATTTTCTATTATATTTGATTGTGTTTTTTTTTTTTTTTTTTTTTTTTGTATTTAGCAGTTATTTTAATGTAGTTTTTAATATATAAATTTGATATATTAATACTAAACATAATATTATGAAAAATTAGTTTGTAAATAATTTCAATCAAAACATATTAATCAAATCATATTATTAGATAGATGTAGTAGCGGAAATTTTTAGAATTGTTTTTTTTTTTTTAATGAATTTGTTTTTTGTATTTTCTCTTGTTTTCTAATGTCTTGGTACGTAGTAGATGAAATCGTCCTTTCACAACCTCGAGTCAACACCTTATTTATTGGCATATTAATTGGATCACATAACACTACACCTGAAAACCATCAGTGCAATTATTTATTATTAATAACTAGTTTGGTAATATGCCCGCAATAATTAATTACATCATTAATAATTATAAATTTGAACCCAAATGTAAGAGTCTCTCACCGTTTTTATGACAAAAATATAAAATTGTTTACACTAATCGCCCCTACACCTGACACGAAAAGATTGTAGAATCGACAAGCCCGAACTTGAAAAACATATACAACGAATATATATTACATAGTGTGAAAATAAAATTATGAAAGCTAACAAATACACGGACATACCCCGAATAACCAAAAATGGTATTAAATCCAAACAACCATGCAAAGAGGGAGGTTTTTGCCACCCCGAACCTTGGGGCAAAGGTGTGGTCCTAACAAGGTAGGTGTTAGGTACACTATTTATTAGAAACGACCAATAAATCTTAGGACTTGGCAAAAACAGACAAAATTGTTATACTATGAAGCCTGCATCATCATTGTATGTGTTTATGGTCTATGCCATGCCATAAACCTCATCCACGGACCACGGGTCAGGGTTATAGGAATCATGGCCCAGTCAGGTTTCGTGGTCAAAGAAAATGGGAATTAATGGGCCAGTATCACTTGTAGGCCCCATAATGCAGGCCCATTTGGACTAGCCCACAATAACATGCACAGCAGCAAAGGATCCTAATAAAGGCAAATTAAACCATGGACCATGATCTATTTTGCATTGTAGACCCTGGTCTAAAAATAATCTTCAGATTTTATATTTATAATTAACACATTCTGTATATGCAGTTGATAGTTTCTGTACCTGTAGCTATCATATTATGTGTCAGCAATTATCAAGTCATATTATGTATCTATATTCGACACATTCTGTACATGCAGTTAATAGTTTCTGTACTTGTAATTATTATATTATGTGCTAGCAATTATCAAGTTATTTGATTATATGTACAGAAACTGTTAAATATAGGTACAGAATGTGTCAAAAGAAGGTACAGAATTTTTGTATTAGACTTCACAATGCAATATGAACCATTATCCATGGTATAACAATTGCCTAATAAATAAAACAAATTTATTGTTATTCTTAATTTCATATGCACCATGTGTTATAGTTTTCTTTTTTTTGAAAAGAAACCAATTCCTCAAGATGTGTTTTAAAGATTAATTACACATATCAAATAGAACAATAGCAAGAAGTTAAAAAGGGAAAGAAAAAAAAAAAAGAAATACCGACAAATAATTTTTAAAAACTATTAAAAATTTATATACAAAAAGAATTAGTTATATAATATTTATCTTCAAGAATATATTATTAATGATTTGGTGTTACACGAGATTGCCCCAATATGCTTTTCTCGTGTCCGTAACTCACATCGGCAATTTCATGTGCATTTTAATTTTTAAGGTAGAAATAATGTTTGGTGTTTTTGTTTTGAAGCACGTCAGATTTCAATGCATGCGGCCGCCCAAAGTAGGAGAACGGCCGAGGAGTCGGCAGAACTCAAAAAAAAAAACATATATACCAAATCCGATCAATTGAGTTTTCTTTGTCATTTTTAAAATCACATAAAATCAAAAGCAAAACGTATGTACGAAAATAAAGTAGCAATTAACAACGTGAAATTTGAGTGTTATTGATGATGCGTGGCCGCGTTCT